TATATATTTATATAGTGTAGTTTTATGTTGTGTAAACTTTTACACAATGTATATTTTTCTGTAGGAACCAATGTTTGAAAGACGCTCCCCGCCGGAGCTCTATAGATGTTGGACGGGAGCGATGAAAAGATGGCGGCGGCCGTGGTACAAATGTCATGTTTGTACCGGGGGATGTTAGCGGTGAGAGCCACCGGGATCAGGCCGCTGATCCCCGGGCTGGTCCCGGCGCAGTTCCGAGCCTTCTCAGTGCGGAAGGAACCGGAGCTGGAGGAGAACCCGTACTACAGCAAGTACCAGGACAAGATCCAGAAGCTGCGCAGGTCAGTCGGCTAACGGAGCTACTAGCCTCACAACGTTACACCCGCTATATCAGAATATCCTTTAGAAAAGTGTTATTTTGACAGTAGTTAGATTTTTGACAAGTGACAGTGCTATTTAGACTAAAACAAAGGAGTTCATCGAAATTCTGATCAAATTATCATGTATTCGGGATACATTTAAACCACCAAGCAATCTATGCATGTATGAAATTTTAATATCTAACGCTGACTCACCGGTTATTTTCTCATGTTTCACCAGAAGTCCAACGGCAGTAGCATTCTGACTTTAGTACTAGACTCTCCTGATTCACACGCCTGATGGCAGGACGGAGGGTTTTAACTTGAGGCTCATTTTTTAAAGCTAATCCCTCCCTTCTGTTATGTAGCCTAAATAATTTCATTTGACCCTCCGCTTGACAACCACTCCTAATCAATGGGTTTAACATACACAGGTGATGGCTTACTTTGCAAACAGGGCTTTTCATTATGACGAAACCTTTGCATTATTTTCTTGATTAATCATTGTTTGCTAATAAAATGTTAAAACATAGTGGAAAATGCATATTACAATATTTTGTCTGACCAACCAAAGTTCGTAACAGAAAGAGAAAATGTTTTGATTTTTGTTTGATAAATTACTTCAACAATTTACTGGTTGTCAGGACATTTAAAAGCAGAAACTCTTGAGAACCGTCCTGATTGTGTGTTAAAGGACACTGAGATTTGGAAGTGAGCTGCTGAAAAGCTTATTTAGGTCCACATATTGTGTGCAGCACCAGCATTTTGATTTTTATATGCCTTAAGCAAAGGCTGCAGTGGGTATTTCCATAACCACGTAAACTAAGTTAGACCCTCTCTGTTGTTAGATGAAGCTCAAGGTTCCCACAGACACAGTCAAGGAAAGCAACATGTTCTCCCTGCCTGTGAGGAAGCACTTTACTTTCTCACTAAAAAGAGAGGGTAAACACTGAATTATAAAAATGAACTGAATAGAAAAATGATTGTGCTTGATAGCTGGAAATAGTTCTAGAAACTAATGGTTTCAAAATAATTAGCAAACACAACTTGTGTTTAATGAGGTAAAAAACATGACAGACTACTGATTTGGTGCCTTATCAAGCTGAGGCCTCGTCTCTGCGTTAGTTACAATGCATTTTGGAAAAAGCTGGAAGTCATTAAGTGAAGTAGAAATGTACAAGGCTGGTTTTCGTAAACTGTATGTTCTTGCTGCATTTCACCTCATAACAGAATGAATGTGGATTTAGCCTTTGGAAAGTCACTGGTGTTTCACTGATTTGCTGTCCAACCTTTTTTCAGCACCAAGCCACAGGAGTACAAAACCCGGGTGGAGAAACGGCATGAGGCCAAGAAGGAAGTGCTCGGACACTCAAAGCAGGCAGAGTTCGTCCAGCTCATGGAGCAGGAGGTAGAGTATCAGCTGGGCTATGTACAGAGCAGAACACCAGGAATATATCCTGAATACCAAACAAATTAAAGTCAGAAATTTGAAGAGTGTGACATCACTGAGCCATTGTTACCAGTTATACCTTAAGCTGGCCACAGTGTGCACTGAAATGTCCTCAGGTGTTGGACAAAATATTTTCCTCTTTTTTCTCTTTTTTCTGGTTTCACTGGTTTTATTTTTGCTTTGGGAATCTTTGCAGTTGGAGAAAAGGGACAAGATGGCTGCCGGCAGTGGAGCATCTGGAGGTTTCACAAAGAACAAGGTGAGATGGCTGGATGTGTAGTAATGCTTTTACTGCACTTTAAATTCATTCTGTTCTGTGGAGTCATGTCTGATGTGTTGGTGTATATTTTAGAACAATCCTGGCTGCAAACCTTTCTACTTTTCATTCTGTTAGCTTTAACAGTGTCAGATAAAGTCAAATGTAATGTTTTATGATGATGATGATGATGATGATGCTGATAACAATGATGAAGTGGTCTCTGGTAACAGACTGAGTAATGTGTTTTTTCCTCAGACGCTGGACTCCATCCTCAACCTGAACTTGATCAAGGACAAGACAGGTGAAGAGATTGCAGAGGTGAGTCTGTGGGGAGGTGTGGTCAGCCTCACTCCAGTTTAACCACTGACAGTCACACTGCTTACTGTGGTGGAATCAATTTGTTCTTTGTTTTGACCTGTTGTGTTCTTCTCTCAGCTTTGGATGAAATATTATTCCACCAAGGACACAATCAGCGCCGTCATCCCGGTGAGTTAAACACCAGATACAGCCGCTACAGCACACAGTCTCCCAACATGTAAAGGTCCAGTGTGTAGGATTTAGCCAGATCTAATGGCACCCCAAATCTAATAATTTTTCTGTGAACCATGAGGTGTTCTCCTGGTTTCATTAGTTCAAATTAATCATACCCATTTTGTTTTTAGTTGGAGTCAAGTTGTTTCACTGCCCTTATTGCCATTTTTACTATTTGACATAATTAGGTGTGCACAAAAGATTGTGCATTGTTTGTGCACTGTAAATAGAACATTTTGGATAAACAGTAATGGTCTAATAACCCATCCTCCCTTATATTGCAGGCACAGATTTATGAAGTGATTTTGACAAGATCAAAGTCGAACCCAATGGTAAGCTCACTGCTGCTCACACTGAAGCATGTTGATGCAAAGCTGCAGGCTTAACTGGAGTATAAGGATTATCAGTCTATTAGAACTATAACCAACGGTTATTTCATGAGCCAACACAGCTGTTTAACATCAGCCTCCCTTCCTTCTCCTCAGTTCCTGTACGCTTTGCCTCAGAAAGAGGGTTACGAGTTTTTCGTGGGTCAGTGGTCCGGACACGAGCTCCACTTCACCTCCCTCATTAACGTCCAGGTAAACCACTTTGCACAGCCCCTTCACATGCTGCTGAGAAAGTTTGATGCTGTTTGGGCTTCTAACAGCACTGCTATCAAGTGATGATTTTCACTGCATACAAGCAACAATGAGGTGAAACAAGTTCAAGAGTGCAATAAAAGATGCTCCGTCATTTGTGCTGTAACTTGACCGTTCAGAAGTTATGAAGAAAGGTACCGGCAATCAAAACTACCTTTACAGAGGGAAAATGAAGATACATGCTTGAAGTAATAATCTTGAATATTTTCATATAAATAAATGTTCACTAACTGTCGCTGTATGAGATAACACAATGGTGACTGAGCCTAAGGCCCAACGATCATAGTATTGTAATATTTATATATTTTATGAACTGGGTGTCAAGGGTGACTTTCACAGAAAAAAATGCTGTATCAAGTTACTGCCAAAGCAAACCCAACATTTCATACTGCTGCAGCTTCACATTTAAAGCAATGGATCGGCAAAACACAAGTTGACTTATTTTGAAACAGTCACAAGTAATGCAGCATGTTTGTGAGTAGGATTAACACTTAACGCTGTCGTTCATCAAAAATGTGCGTACAGAACAAGACAACAGTCTTTTTTAGACAGCGGATCAGTGCGAAATATTTTTAGGGAGCAATGGAACATTTAGGTGCAGCTACAGTGAGCTGATAGACGAAGAGCTGCAGGAGACAGACTGCACACCTTCACAACAGCAAGGTGACCAACACCTTTCACTGTGCCCTGCTGCCCGCTGGACTCATGCCGTGTGCAGCGTTAAATCAGATCATGGTCGAATGCTAGTTTGTTTAACTAGCTGTGTGACCTGTAGTATTACACTGCATTTATTACCACCTGTAACTACAGGTGTCACCCCATGAACCAGGGTTGAAATCTTATTTTCAGAACTGTCCATTATATTGTAAATTATATATCTACATTATCAGAGAACTGCTTCATTGTTTCCAAATGGACAGTTGGATTTTTCTTCTTCTCAGTACGAAGACATTTGTCACCTGCAGGTGTTAATTGCAGTTTTCTCTCCCTGTTGGTGTCCAGACGCTGGGTGAGAACGCTCCCAGTCAGCTGATCCTCTACCACTACCCAGACCTTAAGGAGGAGAAGGGCGTGGTCCTCATGACAGCCGAGCTGGACCCCAAGTTCATAGTAAGTACCTCACCTGTGTGGACTCACCTGTATTACTGGACCTTATTACTTATTACTGGACCTAACTGGTGTTTACTGAGGACCCTGCTGAAGGCCACAAGCTGAAACATTTTGGTCTCACAAGTTGCTCTTGAGTTTACACCCCATATACTGGCTACAAATTAACGCATCTCTCCCTCCTCTTCACAGACCGTCCACCAGGCTCAGTGTTTGGCCAATCAGGTGCAGCTGTTCTACGGCACACAGAGGCAGGAGACATATCGATTGGTCGAAACATTTAACCACCACCCTGCGGACTTCAAACACATGTCAGTGATAGCGGAGCTGGAACAGAGCGGCCTGGGGTCGGCGGTCACCCCCAGGGGATCGTAGGGAGACCATTAATGGACTTAAGTCAAGCTCACCTGCAGCTGGAGTCCCAGGAACTGTTGGTGTTTATTTAAAGTGACAGAGAGATGCGTGCTTCTTTGCTCAGCACTGACTATGCACATACACCTGTTCTTCATACTGTGTATAAAGTTAGCAGCAACAGCAGCTGTGAGTTTGGTAAAAGATTTCAAAGGAGCATCAGTAGCATCTCATGAACTGTCGGAGACTGGATCATCGGACATCTGCCACACATCTTTTCAATGTGCATACATGTAACCACAGGAGGACAATGTGCTGTTGATCACTTCCATGATGAACAGATCACTGTATCCCACCCTCTATATTAGACTGGACCAGAAAGAGCCCAGTATCTATCCCTGAAAGCCAGTATGACATTTAATAAATCACCTTCAAAACCCTAATATCTTTGGCTCAGACCGATTTTATTCTAATGATGGTAATTGTTAGCATTCTGCCAGACTTTTCTTCTTGTGCTTAATATAAAAGCTTTTGGTGTGTCATTTACACAAAAGCTTTAAGCCAACACGACAGAATCAAGTACTACAGTCTGAGTTGATACACAGCACATTATTGTCAGGAGGCATAAGGGATGTGTCTTATTTATGTATTTGGCAAATTTTACCTCCAAATAATTGCAATCAAACATGCATGTAATTTTCAAAATGAGTGGAAGAGCTGAATGAACACCACACTGCTACTGCGCACCTCTCTGGTATGCAGTAGTTATCACACTATGTTCTGTGAGTATTTCTGCAGCAGACTACAGTTAGTGTGGCAAGGATGATAGAGAGTCCTCCTCTATCAGCAGTAGCTCAGTCCATAGGAACTTAGGTTGGGAACCGGAGGGTCACCCGTTTGAGTCCCCGTCGGACCAAAATATGGAGCGTGGACTGGTGGCTGGAGAGGTGCCAGTTCACCTCCTGGGCACTGCCAAGGTGCCCTTGAGCAAGGCACCGAACCCCCCAACCGCTCGGGGCCCCTCACCAGGGGCAGCCCACTCTGACATCTCTCCACCTTGTGCATGTATAGGTCCTGTTTGTGCATGTGTGTGTCTTTCAGACCTGTGTGTAATTGAAGCAAGAGTGAAAACACTGAATTTCCCCTCAGGGGATTAATAAAGTAAATAAACTTAACTTAAACTGGGCTTAAAGGGCTTCTAGCTCTGTGAGATTCTTGGGCTGTCTTGCATGCACTGCTCTTTGAGGCCTAGTCTCAGAGTTTTAATGATGTTTAGGTCGGGGGACTGTGAGGGCCATGGCTAAACCTTCAGCTTGAGCCTCTTGAGGTAGTCCATTGTGGATTTTGAAGTGTGTTTATGATCATTGTCCTGTTGTAGAAGCCATCCTCTCTTCATCTTCAGCTGTTTTACAGATGGTGACTACCTGTGAATTGTTCCCTGTGCCACTGGCTGCAATACAAGCCCAAAGCATGATCGATCCACCCCTGTGTTTCACAGTTGGACAGGTGTTCTTTTTATGAAATTCTGCATCCTTTTTTCTCCAAACACATCTTTGCTCATTGCCTCCAAAAATTTCTATTTTAACTTCATCAGTCCACAAGACTTGTTTTTAAAAGCATCAGGCTTTTTTAGATGTTCCTTTGCAAACTTCTGTCGCTGAATTTCTGGTGAGGAAACAGGAAAGGTTTTCCTCTGATGACTCTTCCATGAAGGTCATATTTGTACAGGTGTCGCTTCACAGTAGAACAGTGCACCACCGCTCTGATAAATCTTTCTGCAGGTCTTTTGCAGTCAAAGGGTTGTTTGATTTGCCTTTCTAACAATACTATGAGCAGCTCTCTCAGAAAGTTTTCTTGGTCTTCCAGACGTCAACTTGACCTCCATAGTTCCTGTTAACTGCTATTTCTTTTATTATTCTTTTTTTTCATATATATTTTGGGACATTTTGCCTTTAATGGACAGGATAGACAAGTGTGAAGGGGGGAGAGAGAGGGGGGAGTGACATGCAGCAAAGGGCCACAGGCTGGATTCGAACCCGGGCCGTTGCAGCAACAGCCTTGTACATGGGGCGCCTGCTCTACCCACTAAGCCACCAACACCCCAACTGCCATTTCTTAATAACATTACGAACTTAGGAAACTGCTTCATGAAAACACTTTGCTATCTTCTTATAGTCTCCTCCTGCTGTGTGGGCATCAGGCATTTTAGTTTTCAGAGTGCTAAGCTGTTTAGCAGCTGTTTAGAGGAGCCCATGGCTGCTGATTGTTGGGACAAGGTTTCAGCAAACCAGAGCCCTAATAAGTTAATTATGGTCTGAGACCCTGGTAAAAGTTGTCTAAGAGCTAAAATATCTTGGGATGCCCAAACTTTTGCATTCTGCTCCTCTTTTTTTTTCTCTTCACTTTTTTGTACAAAACAAAAATAATACACTGATCTTGCTTAAAATGTTGAAAAGCATTTTCTTTAACTCTATGTCTTTTGGAGATTAGTTCATCTTCTGCTTCACAGTAACCCTAACCCTAATGAAATTTTGACCTGGAGTGCCCAAACTTTTGCATACCACTGTATACATTCAACCCGATTACATTAATGACAAGACACCAGAGTTCAAAAATTTCAGTGACATAGCAAAGGCCTACAAAGACCTTTACCAACAACCTACATACTCTGGAGATTTGTTTTCACCACTGTACTTAACAATTAGAACTGATTTCCAGGAGAATGAGTAAAAGGAGGAGATACCATCAAAAGTCCACATAGGTCTGGTGGCAGTGCAGCTGTGTGAATGAGACAGTGAGGACAGTCTTCATGTCAAAACCATGACAAGCTCCACTTGATAGTAAGAATGCATTTACATAAGTTATCAGAAAGTGCATTAGAGCAAGTAAGGCAAAATACTAGAAATGCTCTTTGTGGCTAAGGTGACATGTATGGGCTATTCATCTGTCAGCTGTTGTTGATGTTTTAATGCCCCCTAGTGGTAATAATTTACCATAGTAGAGACATCTGCCGTTGCATTAACTGGATATAACTACTATAAGTTTGAGGTAGTTTTCAGTGAGAGCAGAGTGAACTTGTCACAACATGTCAGGAGCATTCAAACAGATGCAGCTCACAGTCTTTATTATTATTCACTTTTTTTTATTGTATTTATACATGAAAAAATAGTGTGCAAATCCCCAAATGCAGTCAATAAGGGATGGTCAGATATCGAGTCAAAGACACAAACAGAAGGAAAAAAAATATTCCTTCACAACAATTTTGACAAATATTTACTCACTCACACATACAGAGTGCAGAAAGCTGAGCAGGAAAGATTGTACCAGTTTTTCGTCAACAAGAAGATACTTTGTTATCATACCATGTCAAACTTGGTTCCTTGAAATCTGATATTTATGTCATGATTATGAGGATTAAAAAGATCTTACTATTTGTAATGTTGGTGTAAACTGTCAACACTTTTTTGTGACAGTTGTGATCATGTTAAAAGAGAATGACATATAATTGTCTGTCCCCTCCGGCTTTCTGTACTCACCACTATGGACCGCCATGGCACAAACATTGTACAGAAAGAAAACAAAGACACACACAGGCCATGGCAAAACAAAAGAAAACACAGCATCAATTTTTAGCTGGACCAACGAGTAATGTGCTACAATTCTCACATTTCTAGATATATCAAAATCTTACAAAAAGTTCAAACACTGTTAATAATAAAAACATTTTCCCACTAACATCCTTATCTATTGTTCCTCATACTGGCTAACTGGAACACAGCACAGTGGCTGGACCACTCTCAGAAACCAGTAAGGACACAACAGATCTAAGACACTACATTTCAAATACACACAAGAGTATTTGTGTGTTTCATGGTCATTATTAAAACATCAAGTCAGGACTACATTATTAACATGAGATTTGTCCTTTTCAATATTCACAGTGCATTAAAAATATCAAAACTACCAAACATTGGACCAAAACCTCTGAAGTGCTTTTAATTATCTAAAAATGACAAAACTAAACACAAATATTTCTGCAAGAACATCATCGTCATATTCATTAGTAATGCAAAGTGGATGAGCTGATCCAAATGTGGAGCACTTTAGTGGTTAAACAGGTGACTGTTACAGTGTTCTGTCATCTCAGACACCACTTAGGGATAATGTAAGACACAAAAAACATGGTACTTGTTTCTAATTCTGAACTGCCCTTTCAATTCTTTCTCCATCAGTACATTAATGTTACAATACATATACTTTGTCTAAAGTTAAGCAAAGGAGCTTTCAGTGATTTACTTAATTTCACTGCAGATATTGCCAGCTGTGTCACATAGCATTGTGTCACCCGCAGCACACACTGGACACATTATATAGACAGAAGTAGTCCAGATTTGTTAGCCGTACTGTGCCGATACAGGAAGCGAAAGTGATTAAATATCTGCTTCTCTAAAGCATCAACACTAAGACATAGGATGGGGGTATATCTAATGTTGCTTGGGTGCGGTCTTAAAAAGATTAGATCCAAATAGGTTTGTTTGTGTCATAAGACATCCAGTGAGCATTAAACTTAGTCGATAAAGGTGGACTCATCTCATTTTTTGTTAATCCCGATTCCATATCAGAGTAATCTCCAACAGCACTGTACTAATATTGCTTATCTGAATCTGAGTTAGAACAAAAGCTGAAACCTTTTCTTTGTTGTCCCATTAGATCTCAACATTCACAAGTTGTAAGCATGGTTAAGACTTACAAGGTTGGGTTTTTGTTTGTGAGCCCTTGGCCCTGGACTTACTGTTAGCCTGTTAGTTAATTTATTTATTCACTAGTCTCTGGTTGATTGGAATGATTATTTTTAAAGTAACTGTCAGTTGTTTGCTTAAAAAAATCAAATCAAGTTCAGTAATATTCAAAATAATCCTTTGACTCTCAGTGGCTTCCTGTCTCACAGTGAAGTTCAACCACTGAAAGATGTACAACAAAAGTTGTGCGCATAGGGCTGGGCGACATGGAGACAATCAAATATTTTGATATCTTTGACCAAATACCCTGATATCTATATTGCGCCGACATTGTAGTGTTGACAATTAGTGTTTCATAACATTTTTGATAAATAATCATCATTAATGTGAATACAATGACCACGCACATACAGAATCTGTGCTCACAGAACTCTGCAGATTTTCCACAGATTTTAGGAATAAAGACGCTGCTTGTAAATCTCCGAATGTTGTCGCTGTCCCCTCCACCTTCTTGTGCATGAGTATGACAATCGTGTTGTATTCAGTTAGCATCACAATCTAAGTTATTGGTGTAGTGAGAAAATATGTCAAATTTAAGATTTACTATTAAGAGATTAATAGACTGGCAAATACATTTTTGTTTTCTCTGCTCCTTTCATTTTAATGGCCATGTGTCCCACATTTTGCTGATTGATATTTCCAACAAATGTTTACATTTTTTCTTCAAGAGAATTTCTGATTCAAAGATTCAGACTCTGTGGGTAAAGGCAAAAAGTAGAACAGCTATAGAGCAGTCTGGTAAGTTCAGAAAATGACATCACTTGACTGTAATGCAGCCTTTAGAACTCTGAAAAGATTTACAATATTACAATATCCAAAATCTAAGATGATATCTAGTCTCACATCACAATATCAATATAATATCGATATCTTGCCCAGCCCTGCATGTGCATCACACATTTTGTCAGTCAATTTTTGTAAATTTTTTTGCACAGAGTGATGCAGGAGCAACAGCATGGCAGTTTGTAATCTTTACAAACCCAGTCCTGTCTCAAAGTGAATTTAGAGCATCCTGCATCTAAACTTTTCCTTGCATTCTGTCTCAACACACTTTTAGGCTGCAAGGCAGTACACAGAGCTGCACAGAGGAGTACGGCATGCTCCTCAGAGGCAGGACTGTTCAACCCTTGAAAGTTATGGCATCAGCAATAGGCTCTTCACTTGAAAGGTAAAAATTAGCTAAAAGCTACATGTCAGAAGGTGTTCTACCTGGTATGTGTGCTTCCACATATTTGTATGGCCAGCAAAGCTGCCGGATACACTGGAATGTGCTGAAGCAAGAAGAAGAAGCCAGAAACAACTTTACTGGAGTAACCTTGTGCTTTTTGTCAGAGCTCTCTGCAGCTGCAGCAGCAGCAGCAGCAGCAGCAGCAGCAGCAGCATCCCCTGCTGATGTTTCTTGGTGCAGCACTACTGTCAGTCTGAATGCGGTCCTGATCGTAACCTGTGCTCCACTGCTGTGATTCCCTGAGTGGTTCCTCTGCTGTCATGTCTCAGTACATGGCCTCAGTGTCTCGGATGCTTCCGAATGACAAACTGAAAGTGCTTCCTAGTCTCTTAGTGACCCCGCCTCCTTCCCTCTTCTTCTTCCTGTTCCAGTTCAACAAGGAGGCGGAGCTCTGACCCTTAGCTCCACCCAGCAGACACTGCCGAGTATTTTCCTTATCACTGCTGTGTGACAGCATTATGGTCCTCCTCTCTACCTGCTGACACACACAGGTAATGTCTTAGTCACTGCACAGGTAAGCACAGACATGTTCAAACAGCAGTCACTGACATCCCAAACACACACTTACACTCACAATGACTCACCTGTGTATCATGTGAGTGTAATGTCACCACACTGAGCTCCACTCCTCTGTCGCTACAGCTCTTTAGCATGTGGACCACCTCGCTGTGTTTGGCCCATTTACTATCCTGTCCGTCAACTGCTACTATGTAGTCTCCTTCTCTTAGTCCAGCCTCCTGCGCAGCACACAAACATCAGCAAAGGAGTGAAGACTCACATTATTTGTTTATCACAGCATTGTTAGGGGTCTAACGACCCATCAGTCTGGTTTGATATATTGATTTAATGATCAATGACCTACTATCAGAGATGCAAAGTAAAAACATCAACCCATATCATCATTTATAGGATGCGCCTTTATTTTGAAATTCTGTATCACTGCCAAACAGTACCAGGCGGATAATGACAAACAGCAGGAAAACAAAGAGGATAATGTTATTTACTCAGGGATGAATCAGCAGTGTGGAAATATTTTAAATTTTGGAGAAAATGGGTCAACAGACAAAGCACACATTAACATTAACTGCTCTATTTAAACAATGTTCGGCTGAAAAAACATGCATACAGGCTGAAATTCAACCATGCTGTTCTGTTGGAAGACGCAGTGACTTAAACCAATGGTGAATAATAAAAAGTATAAATAACATAATTTGGTAAGCTATGCGCAGAGGTAAAACTGCACTAGCTGCCAGGATAATTTATGCAATATAAAGGTGCTTAGGCTAATAATGGGTGACTGACAAAAAAAACCCAATTGTTTATCCTATGAAAATCTTGTTATTAATCCATGTTTTATGACTGCTGGGAGAAGTTTGTCTTTAGGGCTTTAAGTCAGATAACTGTGACGTTTAAGGAAAAAGATCATAGTCTGAGGTAAAAACTTTACTGTACTTAACTATTACAATCATTTACATTATTTATGTATTGTTTTTATCTTTTATGGCCAAAAGTAAATTAGAAAGCAGTGAGAGCTTCCTCTGTAACAGACTGTGTTATATGGGTATATGATATTGTCTCATACCGATCACAGACCCCTGTACTGAATCAAACTGAATCGTATTGTGGCAGACTTTGTGATATCAGCAAATATCATATTGTTGTCCAAAGAATCAACGTAATATCACCACTAAACTAATGATTTACACCCTTAAACATAGTGAGGCATTTTTTATATCAACAACTACAAGTTATACTTGTGGTTTGCTGTCTGAAACTCCAGTTAGACTGTTCCCACCCACACAGGGTGCACTGTTAAAAAGCTTACATGAGTTTCTATTTACATGTTTGCTGTCTCCTCTAAGCTCTCTAGTGGTCAGAAATTAATTATTGCAGCTTTCATATACATTAATAACTGAAACTGTTACGATGATGATGATGATTGTAAGTTAGATTCAACAAAAGGCACACTGTTTCCAGGGTTTCCAGAAAAAGAGATTTAAAAAATACCCAGGAGCATATTTAATTTAATTCAGTTTAAACAGATTTGCAATGGATTTTATGTCTCCACGAAAAAAAAAAGATTATTGAGTTTCCTGCTGGCACAAGACACTCTCCACTGTTGTTTACAGAGAGATACAGCCCTTGTGCAACAAGTGCAGCTTATATATTTTTCCAGCATTAAAAGGAGATATAAATGGAGAGAAAACTCAAATAAGATGGATGGATTATGGATATGGATTAATACCTCAAAATAAGAAAGAAGGAAATTGGTTGGAAGATAGTGCTGATGCACTGTATGGAAATACCTTTGTCTCAGTATTAATTGTGTGAACAGATCAACAACCACTGAGTTACTGTGTAATAGGTAAGTATAAAACACCTTGCTCAAATACCAAGTAGATGTGTAAGCTCACAAAACTTTTTTGCAAATATATAACAGATCTGCTAATACACAAATATAGAGATAGATTTGTCTCGGTATCATTCATGTGAGCAGATAAACAATTCATGTGTTCACGTGTGATCTGCAAATATAAAACACCTTCCAGAAATTATTTGTAAATTCACAAAGATACTTAACAAATATAAAACAGATCTGCAAATATGCAAACAAATTCTAAAAATTACACACACACACACACACACACACACACACACACAAAAAAACTTGCCACAAATTCGCAAGTATAGAATTGAGATTCACAAATGAAAAGTGGATTCACAAATAACTGTTTCCAATGCTGTAAATGTTAGGAGGATATTCATAAATGCTTTTCATGTATTTGTACTTGATTATTATTATTTTTCATTTGTGGAATTTGTTTGTGTAATTGCAGCTGTGTTTTATATCTGTAAAGTATTTTTTTGAATTTACAAATCATTTGTTGTATTTGTGGAAGGTGTTTTACATTTGTAGATCACACATGAACACACAGATTGTTTAACAATTGTCATCGTTGACAAATATAATACTGAGACAAATCCATCACCATGCATTGCATTTTTTGCTCTGAAAATCTGATGTTTACAAGTACAGTAATTGTGAGAGGAAATTTCTTGTTCCTGCTTCGAACAGTCTCATACCTCTATAGGATGTGGAATATGAGCAGCTGTGCTCTAAATGATGCACATAAAGGTCAGTGGAGTTTGTCTTACCGCTGCACACCCTCCAGGCACCACTCCAGCCACCAGGACAGGGGAGTCTCCTCTGAGTGTAAGACCTAGTCCGCCCTCCCTCCTCTGCAGGCAGATCACACGTACCGGACCCCAGCGAGCCCGAGCACAAAACACTGACAGAGGTCCCTGCAGCATAGTGAAGAGTCATTTTCAACTCAGGTACCAGAAGATGCTGCAGTTTTTTAAAATTATTTTAAGTCCTATTAGCACTGGAACAGTATTACCTGGGGATTTAGAAATTGTTTTGAGCTTGCTTTTTCTGCTAACAGGTATCCATGCTGTGTAGCCAGATGAACCTCCTGTATCCAAAATGCTGTCAAAACTTTCATTTATGATTGCCAGTGCAACCTCTGTAATTCTCGACTGAGAAAGAGGCAGAAACGAGGCGCAGAGAAAACAGAAAACATACATAGGACCCCAAATGACCAAGATGCCAAATCACATGGGACTAATATTATCACATGACCTCTGTGTTTGGCAAAATATGGTGGGTAATCTGTGGTGTCACAAATTACAGGCATCGCAGAGGTGCATGGTATAAGATCAGACGACCTCCACAACTATTACAAGTTACCAAAGGTCCTCAGGTAATACTAGTCCTGTGCAAATATGGCTTTAATTGGGTTTACAATTGATGTGGGGCAGCATGACTGTGCATTTCCCTGAATGCTAGACTGTTGTTACAGTGAATATGTCTTACCAGTCTTTGGAAGATATCAGTAACTTGAACTGTAGCAAAGTTGGTTGGAGTTATTTCTGGTTTCTGATGGGTTTGAGCTGTCAACAGAACAAACCACAATCACTTACTGTTACTAAACCACAGAATCACATGTACTGATATGACTTAAAACAGACACTTACACTGTATCTCTGGAGCCTCTGCAGTTTCATCAAAGTCGTCCTCTCTGTCCAGCTCCGAGTACTTATCCAAGGAGCGTTTGTGTGTGAGAGACAGCACGTCCTGCAGGATGTCCATCTTCCTCAGGATCTTACACAGACTGTGGACACGCATGGCCTCCTCATGTCTGATTACTGCACGCCGCAGGTGAGCTTTACCTGCATACATGTAGACAGACATTAATGTGTGTGCATATTACTTTGACCCAGAGTGGCACATGTGGCAGATAAAATTAACCAAATCGAAAAAAATGCTAGAAAATATTTAAATCCTTTGAACATTACATCCCTGATGTTTGCATAAAGTTGACCTTCACAGAAATGTACTTACTACTCAAAGCAACTACCCGGTGATGTTCTTTATAATGACCTCCACCACATTGAACTTTCTGAAAGTCACAGCTGAGTGCTTCTCTATGTCTGTCTCTCTGTGTCTCTCGCTCTCGCATATTCCATGAACTCACCAAGCTTTCTTCTTTTTTCAGGGTCTTGTAAAACCTGGCTGAGTGTTGACCCGGCAGGAACGTTGACATAGAACTGGAGATAAGCCTTCTCTGCTTCCTCATCACCCTCGTCCTCCTCAGCAGATACTACAGAACAAGATATTCCAAATCAACATGTGTAGATGCAATTGATACAGTTAGGTAAGAATGATCAAAGGGTAAGCATTGAATTCAGCGGCTGAATATAAGTCTAAGTGTGTACAGGCGCATTAGTCAAAATATCACCATCTGAACTGGGCAAAGTCTGTATGGATAATATGGATCGGGTTTTGTAGTGTTAACTGTTTTTGTCCTCCATTATTTATTATTATTGTAATTTCTTTATCTTGCTTTTAGTTTTAAGGAAGCTCTTTGTAGAAGGAGTCAGCTTGCCACCACTTCTGCACAGTGTATTTAAGCTGTACATGTACAACATACAGTATGTCTATACTGTAGGTGTGTTTTTGTATGTGTATGTATTCATGTATTAATCTCTTACTTTAAAGCATTCTTTTAACGTGGAAATAAAGTTCATTCAAATTAAAACATGCTTTGGTGAGACTTACATGTGTGATCGCAGAGTGCGACAGCTGCGTAGTAGTGTGAGAGGGCACGGAAGTGTTCAGATTTGACCTGAACCATGGATGCCCAAGAAAATGGCACATAGTCCTTCATCAGAGGCTGCGTCATGGTCTGCTGCACTAACAAGTAGACATCTGACACCTACAGGACACACACACATACAAACAGAGTGAGAATTACAAGATATCAACAGTAACAACACAGCACAACCAAAGACATGTTAACTCACCCGTGCAGCTTCCTGTGCCAGGCGGAGTTGGGAAGTGAAGTGTGTGTCCTTTGTGGTAAGTGTGACACGTTCAAACACACACTCCTGCACCTGGGCAACCATCAGACGTACCAGCATGCAGAGCGACGGACCACTCATGTCCAGACTGGGAGCGTTGGAGAAATTCTCTTTAAGGTAATTAAATGCACCTAAAAATAACACACACACAAGGAAAACACAAGTATGCAAAACAGCATTATTTTGTCAATTAAACAATCAATTACTTGATTGACAGTCATTTATCAGTAAAAAATCCCAGACATGCGCTTATCTCAGATTCTAATATTTGAGTATTTGCTGCTTTTCTCTGTTACATCATTGTAAACTGAAAGTTTTAGGCTTTGGTCAGACAAAACAAGCAATTTGAATATGTCACCCTCGGCTCTTGTAATAGCCACTACACTTTTTTTGACAATGGATAGAATAAATCTAATAACTGAGGAAAATAATGGACAGATTAAATGATGAGGAAAACTGTTTTTACTTCCTTGTGATCCAATTGTGGAGCATTCAGGTAAGTATCTGCTGTTTCATTACCTGCAGCTCTCTGAAAGGCATCTATGGCTCGGTCTATGCCAGCTGCTGCAGAGCGGTCCTGCCGTGCTCCGATCTGTGTGTAAAGAGCACCGATGTTGAACAGCACACTTCCTTTCTCAAAGGCCAACGTACGCTGACATGACGGAACGCCTGTCAGAGAATCGTACCTAAGGGACAGACGAGGAGGAATAAAATAAATTGGCATGCATTTTGCTTGTGTCATTATTAACTGTCTCATCAACCAGTCCATGTATACAGTATTTAGACAGGTGCATGTTACAGTTTGTCTTTGCAGACTATTACATCAGACTTGAATAGTATGAGATTTTATTTTTAGCCGCCTTTCAAGACCCTCAAGGTTACCTTACAGGCAAAGATAGAGAAAATAACAGTCAACGAGATAAAGCATAAAGTAACATAAAAATAAATAATAAAAATAATAATAACATAATAAATTAATAATCAGCAAGACAAGATTACAGTGAATAAAATTCAGTGTAAATAGCGGCTATGTGTGGCCAGACGGACAGGAGTCAAACTGAATAGGCTATAGTATGTCACAAAAAATGTCATTAAAAAGGAAATACAGCATGCAAAAATTACACAAAAACTTATAGTATATATAATGTCCTAAGAACTGCGTAATGCAGTATGCAGGGTTTCTAACACATTAATTTATTTGTTGTATCAGCATTTACACAAGTAGATGTTTTTTGTAGCTGTGACACCCCCATACATACAACCTTCAGACTTTTACATCTCTAACACTGTGCTCATGTCCTAGCCTTGTGATAGTCTGGTGACCTATCCAGGGTGTACCCCGTTCCTCATCCAATGAAAGCTGGGATAGGCTCCATTTCCCCATAACCCTGTATTAGGATAAGCAGTTACAAAGAATGAATGAATGAATAAATGCTCATGTCGTACCAATGGAAGTGTACACCCAGGTTCCTGTGTAGAGGGAAGAAGCGCTGGTCCAGGTAGTACAGTTGGTTGTAGTACTCCATCAGGAGCTCCAGCCCAGCCTGGTTACGACTGGGTGTACGCATGGCCTGACCCAAATAATAACACACATAAATATACATCTAATGTCAGACAATACTTCAAGGTGACCGCAATTTTATAACATATTTCAGACCATTTATACTTTTTCCAGTTGTATTATCTCTGGCAGCAATTCCAACTAGATCAAGATTCCGTTTGTATGGAGCTGTATGAGTGCATTTATTAACCTGTCTGAGCTCCATAAGCTCTTTGATCTCCTTGCTGTAGAGAGAGCTGTCCTCTCCGTAGTGCTCACAGATGAAGTCCTGTGAGGGGAGAGAGACAGTTACATGATGACAAATCTGTTTCACAGTTGAGATATTCTCTAATATTTAAACAAATTGTAGAGGACCTCAGTACCCTTTCAACAAATATGTAAGACAAAAACTAGAATTACTGCCCTGCGGTTGTATGCCTCCGTGCACCAGTTAAGTTTCTCTACAGTTTACATCCATGTCCAAATACTTCCCCTTCTGATCCTGAGATATGACACTGATTAATGGCCAAAAAAGTGTTTTAAGCAGAACATTATGATGTCCCGATTAAGCTGACCTTTGACCTTTTGGATATAAACTGTCCCAACATTGTCATTTTATCCTATTAGACATGTGTGTGATGTTTTGTCATAATTAGCACATGAATTGCTTGAGTTATGGCCAAAAACATATTTTGTGAGGTAACAGTAACCTTGACCTTTGACCTATGACCACCAAAAACTAATCAATTCAGTTCATCTTTGAGTCCAAGTGAATATTTGTGCCAAATTTGAAGAAATTCCCTTGAGGTGTTCTTGATACTGTGTTCACAGGGATTTGACAGACCCAGCCACAGATGTGTCAAAGCTGTAACACTTCTTGTAATATAAAGGTAATAGTGTTCCTCCTCTACCTTGTTTTAATATTTTAGAATACAATATTCACTGTTTCACTCAGATCTCTATGTTTGTATTGTTTATATTTGTAAATATGTTGTCTTCACCTGGATAGCGACTGTGAAGTCCACCTCTTTGGTTTCTTTTAATCCAAGTGGGATCATGGGAACGTTGATAGCATCACTGTGAAAAGAAATAAATACAGCGTGTGTGTGTGTGTAATCTTCCACACATTATATGTAAACACCCACATGTAAACACAGTACAGGTTATAGCAATGGTCAAGCCAGCACTGCCATCTGCTAGTCTTCAAACCCAGCAGGCTCACTGCACAGTGCCTCATCCTGCTAATAGGCAAAGCTAAAGCCAAGTATTAACCCTTACGCCCCTGACTCCCCCTACAGTCACACCCTTCCATTCACAATGAACCAAAACACGCACACACGCCACAGGGCCATTAATGACACTCTAATCAGGGGATTTACCCTTCCAATGACCCCGGGCTGCAGAAGGAAAAATCTCCTGGCCGTGAAGGACAGCACACATACACACATTTGTACTTCTATATTTGTAAGGACTTTCACTGATGTAATTACCTAGCCAACAACACTGACTGAAACCTAATTCTAACTTAAGATAAATCCCAACCTGCAAAAAGCTCAACAAAATGTCCTAGTTTTACAAAAATGTCCTTACTCTCCAGGTCTGTAACATAAACTGGTCCCCACAAAGACAGAGGTACAAGAGCAGACACACACAGTGCACAGTGTGAATACAAAAATGTAATGGATGCTTGTTTTCTCCAATTATAATTCTCATTAGACTAATGAGAGTGACCTGGAATTCATGGAGCAAATATTAAATGAGCCATGGTTTATAGACGGGCTGTGTGTGTGACTGTGTGTGCATGTGTGTGTGTGTGTGTATATGATACCTGTCTGTCTGGTAGACCTCCATGTTGCTGTTGAGCTCCTCCAGCTCCTCCTTCAGCAGCTGCAGGTTGGAGTTGACGAAGCTGAGCTCCAGAGCAACGGTTTCTTTCACCTTGTTGTTGGTCGTTGCCCTGCAGAAATTAACACATATCAGATCTCTTATTATTTTTGACTTCCATTTTCAATGTGTGTGAGGAGAAAAGGAGAGTTGTCATGACTCTACTCAAAGACAATATGCCACTCTGAGTCCTTGCCATAGACCAGGAGAAGGTCCCTCCTAAACTAAATGCATTCCATAATTAAAATGTCCTTAAATTAGGCCAGAATCCATCTTAACAGAGCTCTTTGGAGAACCTGAAGGTTTGCTGCTTTCTTCTCTATCATTAAAAACTGAATATCTTTCAGTTTTGGACTGTAGTCTGACAAAACAATACATTTGAGGATGTCAACCTCTGCTCTGGGAACTTGAAATTCTACATTTGCTAATTTCCCCGGAGTGGGATTAATAAAGGCTTGTGTTATCAAGTAAGTGACTAATCAATTAATCTGGAAAGAGAAATTATAATTTAAAAAAAACTAACTTGCAGATAAATGGATAGTAAAATGATCAGCAGTTTCAGAATTGAGGACATTATTTTAGAGACTTAAGTATTAATCAAACAATTCTTTGTTGTGAGGTTTAATAAAGTATACTGTAACTAAATTCTAGATTTAATTGGGCCCAGAAAATCAGGCCCAACCCTACATGAACCCACAGTTTTTGTCCAAGCCTGGCCCAAGCCAGAACTATGGCAGCAGTTTTGATCCAAAGCCCACTGAAAAACCAGAATTTCCACTGAAAAAATACATCTTTACAAACTATAGTCAACTATAGTCTTTAACAGACATATGGGATGCGTGGTGTGTTCCTGAACAGTCACCCCAAGTGCCAAAGCACACTCAAAGTGCTATTGGAATCTACCATGCAGTCATTCAGAACACCAGTGACAGAAGTTCTGGATGCTCTCTCTGAAGAGACAAAGCAACAAAGTGCCAAGCATAGTGAAAGTGAAATTTAAGTGTTCTTTAATTCACATAGAAAGAGGGAAATTAGCACGCACCCAACCCAATTCAAGCCAGGGGGAATGCTGAGAAATTACGGCCTGGCCTGGGCCTGTCAGGCCAGCCCAATCAAAGATCTAAACTAAATATACAAAACTGCACAATTATTCATAGTATATTGTGAATTTCCATGATTTTTGCAGTAGTTGCTTGCTTTCTTTCTTTATTCTTATGCACCAAACACCAAGGCAAATGTTTTGTATGTAAAAACTTACGTGGCAATAAACCAGAATTTTGATTCTGATTTTTATGTGCATCTACCTTATTCTTCTTCTCACCTTTTGCTCATATAACTGATACCTCTCATTTATCAATGGAAAATACAGAGATCTGAAATTGACCAAATATATGAAATCTGACATTCCTATAGTCAGGCTTATGCTGAAACAGTCAAGTGTGTAGGATTTACAGGCATCTATTGACAGAGATTGTATATAACATCATCTGAAAATATAGGACTTGTGGTGTTTTCATAACCTTATAATGAGCCGTTAATACTGTATCTACATATGGAGCAGGTTCTTTTCCACTGGTGTGTTTCTACAGTAGTCCAGAACAGACAAATCAATCACTGGCTCTAGAAGGGGCCATTTGCATTTTCACATTGGCCACCACAGTTCTCCTACATGCTTGGCACGAGGAAGAATTTTCAGTTCTGCATCCTCAGCTCTAGATGCCACTAAATCCTACACCGTGGAGCTTTAGCTTACCAACTTAAAGAAAACAAATGCTGGCACACGGCTATATAAAACAGTACTACATGTCAGAGGACATTGTCTTACTGTATGTCCTTCGCTTTATTACAGATACAAAGCTTAACATCACAAATATGACAATCCACCATGAAAAACTGAGAGGTGCAAGTCAAACTCTGCATTCATGGATGTAAGCATGACACTGTAAACACCCAAAGAGACTGACTTTTCTTAGACAAAAAGCCCGTCTTTAATTTATGCAACTATCTCATCTCTCCACCCTCTCTCTCCTCCATCATCCTCTGCTCATTCACTTCAAGACTCTCAACTCCTCCTCCAATCACATGGGGAGGGTGTTAGTGTTGAGTAAAGCCAGCTCACACTGCTGGGGGGAGTCTAAGGTCAACAACACACAGTGTTCCTGGAAGTCTGAGGCATCCCTGAGTTGTCGTGGTAACTAATAATATACACTTGCCCAGAAAACTTTCCTAATTATGCAACACTTAATTTCACTGGCTCAATGATATGATAGAAGTGTGTGTGTCTACAGCACAAAGTGGACCAAATGACCGTAGACATTTGTGATTAACAGACTTGAAAAACGGCCCTCAATTCACAGAATAACCGATATTTTGCACAAGAATGCATCATTCTGAATGGCTTCTCAATAATTCCACACTTTCAAAAGAGGAACAAATGAGGTAAAGATAAAAGAGACACAAATCAATGTTTTTTCTTTCTGTATAAAATCTTCATATTGAAAACACTGATAGACAGTTTTCCTGATTTCAGACACTCTCAGTTTGATCACATTTAAAGATTAAAGGTCTCTGTGCTGAATGAGTCATTAAATGCATCATCAGGTGGAAGATTTTGGGAGGAAAGATACACATCGGCTGTCAAGGCCAAAGGCAATCTGACAAGGTGTGAGTACATTTTGGGTCATACACAGCACACAAGTTAAAGATTAACACTTCACACACTCTGTAAACAAACTATAAGAGCTGAAGATATAATTTGTACACAAATCCAACATCTTGATCACAAGGTGTTTGCTTTTCATCAAAAGCTGTCAAGTTTCCTGTAAATTCTATTCTCTCTTTTTTTTCCTCTCACTTCCTGAGCGCATGTTTGCATCATAAGACCTTGTGTTCATGCAAAGGTCACTTTTGTCTCAACTTGCATGAAAGGAAGGTGATTAATAACAAATATTCTGTGGACAAACTATTCCTGTAAATTAGTATCATCACTTCTTCCAAGTTAAAGTTAGACACCTATTAATTCAACTGTAAGTCAAACCTGTCTTTTTTTTTTTATCCGGCATATACATTATTGATGTTACTTACAACATCAATAACTTTAGGTGCTGTTACTCCACTGCTTAAGCTTTTTTAAAACTATTTCTTACTTTATTTCTCAATCTTGCTAGAACTTCTCCTCTGAGTATGTTTCCATTTGTCAGGGTGTTTAACTATGCTGATCAATGCAGACACTCCAATTTAAAAATACTGGCAGCTAAAGCATAACTTGCAGGAAAGGAACAAAATGGAGAGTTAGTGCATTTTAAGACATGACTGGTTTCACGTAGGAAACAGTCTTTGCATATCTGTTTATCGATAAATTAATATTTGCACTCATCTGCTTTATCTGCACCCTTTCCTACTTTGTACAACTGCTACACAAACTGTTCCTAAAACAGTATTTTACATTGTTTCAGGGAGAACGCTTTTTGCTTCTGTTTGCTTTTTGTCATGACAGTCACTGGCTATTTTTATGTGCACACTTACTGTATATTCTACTATTATCTTGAATATGAAAATAATATGAAATTGATGCATATCATGTAAACAGTATATTATATATATATATATATACACATATATGTATATTCAGAATTTGGACTTTGAATTTAGCATTTTCCAAATAAGATATGTGGGATATGCTGGTATTATGCAGGTTTTAATAGCATTATTTAGACATGTATACAGCGGTTTTTACTGCAGTTTGCGACACACGGCCTCTTGCTTTTCTGTGGTTGGCTCTGTGTGTTGTCATGGATATACTGAACACATACCATCTTGCCAACAGTTTGCAAGGCTGAGTAGAGATGCATGACCAAAAGAAGGATAAACACACATACTTTTAAACACTATAAAACATTTGGATATCAACAGGTTTTTGGATATGTGCAAATATCGCAACACTGACCTTTTCAAGAAGGTGGTTGAGGGAATGAAAAAAGGAGGCGTATGCATTGTCCAGCAAGTCCACCACTGGTAGGACACTTTGAAAAAATAATATTTCCATACAAAGAAGCAAAATAACAGCAGCTCCAGCCATTCCACGTTGCTATAGTTTGACGTAATAAACGACATGTTGGGAAACTTTTACCAGAAAATGCACGATCGCATGTAAACAGGAGTATTAGAGGAATATTTCTTTTCATTAGCCATGTGAACAGCTTATCAGGAATATTGTCTTTTTCAGAATAAGTGCAAAATATGTGATATTTTGTGCATGTAAATGTAGTCAATGACTGGTGGAGAAACTGAAAGTTGTTTATTCTTTGACACATGACACGTTTGACACACAGCTGAGCTCACCTTTGAGCTTGAGCTGTCCAGTTAGACCACTTTACCTTCACCTCTCTCTTCATCTGTCACTCCCTCCCTCAGTGAAACACACACACACACACACACACACACACACACACACACACACACACACACACACACACCTATATCTAGGATCACGCCGAGGGCAATCTGATTAGTCAGCTTTAAATGGGCTGCCAAATACCCCCTTCACACACACCCACTTGCACGCAAAACATGCTGGAGCTTTTAAGGGGAAAAAATAAATCCCTTACTCTGAGTGTATGAACTGACTGAGAGACATAAGGTATCAGAGAAGCTGAAAACAATTGTTTTTTTCAGAAACTTGTGATATTTTTGTAATAACAGATCAGGATTAAACTAGTTACTGTCCCTCGGCTGAATTCCCACAGAGAAACACACCCTGCAGCACACAACATGACGTCTTCATCAGCCAATCACAAACCCTGATGAGTTACAACCCCTCTTTCATCTGCAATTAGCATCCCCCCTCCCATTCACCTCCCACCCACCAGCACTCATACCACGACCCAGTTCCACAACAGTTTCAGAGTGAGTGAAGTGAAAGCGAGACGTTTTGTGAGAGTGTGTATGTGTGTGTGTGTGTGGACTATTCCAGTTGACCGGAAAGGGGGAGGACAGAAAAAAGAAAAGGTCTGACAGTGCCAGACAAATAAGTGGGGGATGAGCTTGCCGGGGCTCCGTTGGGAATCTCTGCATGAGAACAGGACAGGAGGCGGACACAAAGCCGGCTGATTACAGGCCAGCAGGCTGTGTGTGTGTGTGTGTGTGTGGGGGGGGGGTCCTCTTTGTCTCTGTGACCCATCGTCCCAATATAAAGGGCAGGAGCGCTTGTTTTATTTCCCCTAAACTGAGTCATCACCTTTTAGAATAACAGCCCAAATCCAGTCAAAATGGAGTTGGGAAGAAAGATCCAAAAGAAAAACAGATCAATACCCATTACAGAATTAGGCCTATTCAAATCTGCCTGTTAGTGCTGATTACTTGATTAATCAATCAACAGAAAATGTACTGACAACTTTGAGAACTGATTAAGCTATTTCTCAAACAAAAAATGCCAGAAATTCACCAGTTCCACCTTCTCAAATGTGAAGATTGAATGCTTTTCTCTGTTTTACATAGGGCTGCAACTAACGATAATTTAATTCAATTATATTCTCAATTAATTGCTTGGTCTGCAAAATGTCATAAATTGGTAAAAAAAAAACAACTCACTGTCACTCACTATCACACAAACAAAGAAAAGCTGTAAATCATCACACTTAAGCTAGAACATGGTAATATGTGGGTGTTGTGCTTGACAGATGGCAATAAAGTGATTAACAAAAAAGCTGTCAATTTTTTGTTGACTAATCAGTGAATCAACTTATCATTTCAGCTCTAGTTTTATATATTTGTTTACACAATATTTTTGTGTTTCATACCGTTACGCATAAGGACTGATTAAGAGATGTCACCTTGAAATCTGGGAATGTATGGGGGGCACTTTTCACTTCCTAAATTTATCGAGTTAAATAACAAAGAGACTAAACAATAATGAAATTAATTTGAAGTGGTATGCCTGTTATCTCTTACCTATCTATCCCTGAGAAAGGTCTTTGTGAAACTTAATTAGCTGTACCCAGACAAACCCTGGCATAATAATGAGGGGTGCTCTTGGTTGTCGTTTAATTAAAGACACTGTTGTTTTCTGTGTCGGTCTTGTTAGATTCTGACATTGCACCACTTAGGGGGAAGAAAGTAGCTTCTTGCTTTAATTAAGTGGCTCCTCCTCCTTCTACTCCCAAGTTGAATCTTTATGAGTAAAGGAGTGTGTTTTTAGAGAGTTGTTCACAGTGCTTGCTTTAAATGTCTCAAAACTACCACAAAAAAGTGTAGAACAAATGCTTGCACATATATTAAATGTAAACTTTAAGGCTCAATAGTGATCTACCTCCAAGTGGATAACAAGCATGCAGAGCCTGAGAAAAAGTCAGAGGGAGAAAGCAAAGGCACTGAGACACGGAGAGAAGCTGGAGGGGATAAAGATGACGCTAATGTTCTCAGAGAGAATACTTTGATGTTCTGCCACCGTTTCTTTTTTCATTTCCCTCATTTCTTCACCAATAAAGCTCTTGTGTGCTGTGTGGATGACAGTTAACTGCTTTAAAACACAAAGCCAGCACAGTTCAGCTGGGTGATCAGCCGCACTGGTGTTAATGCTGAAAAGTTTGCATTATTCAATTATTGTTTTGTAAGAGTTAAAAACTAATAGTAGGGAAAAAAGGGAAGAGGAGACACAAACATACAAACATGCTTAATGTTCACACAAATAGAGCTATAAAACTGGGTGGCACTGGTGTGTGTGTGTGTGTGTGTGTGTGTGTGTGTGTGTGTGTTTTGGAGGGGAGTGATCTCTGACCTTTGGCCATCACAAGACACCAACACAAACGTGACAGAGCCAACAAGCTAACAAAGAGCCACCAACACAGAGGAGACCAGAATAGCATTCATCATCACATCTTAGAGAGGAAAAGCTAATGCAGGACAAAGTTTGCCCTTTCAAATCTGAATAAATGCCATGAATAATGTGTCCAGGTGACAACATTAGATACTTTTAAATAACCCAACACAAACCTTAAAGATACTTTACCCCTCTATTGTGTCTTAAAATCCATTTTCACAAACAGGTAAGAAACACAACACCATCCCAAATGTTGACTCATTTCCAACATAATTTCACTTATTTTAATGAATCAGGTGGCACTGTCTTGAAACAGGATCAGTGAAGTAGAGATGCACCTTGCTTAAAAAATGTTTCATGCAGAGAAAGTCCCTCAACACATGAATCTACACCAAAATTAACTTTTATTAACTTCCCAAAATATTATTGAGAAAAACATCCATTTGATCTGTCCCATGACCTCACCTGAACAGGTTCTCTGCTCCTGCTCTCATGCGCATCTCTTTGTTGATCTGCTGGTTGATGCGAGCTCGCCTGTGCTGCAGTTTACTGCGCTGAGTCTGGGCAAAAGGATCACATCCCTGCAGAAAAAATAAAGACACAGAGGAGTCAGAGTAAGTGATGAAGTGCTAAATTACAACAACAATTTTGACCATTTTAAGCCCCGAAGAAGTAAAGGCTGTTTCCGCAACAGGTGCAGAGGCAAGACGTCCAAAAAGACAAATCTCTCACAGTGGACTTCATTCACTACCAACTCAAAGTTTTAAATAACCAGTTACACTTTTTTAAAAACTCGCTGTTCATCATCTCACTTAGTGAGAATTGTTTGCTTTAGCCTATTTGTCGATACATTCAGCAAACACATTCTACATATACAGGGATAAATGAAAGTGAACCCTTAAGGGCTTTCTGAGTGAAGTTGAGCCTACATGGTAGACTTTACATGGCCTTAAAGAAGGATTTCGCTGCTGGAAGAATTGTCTTTTCATAAAACTGGGCTGTCTCTGCATTAGAAAGACACAAATACTTTTGAAATTAGTGCTGCATGACCAAAGAAAACAGAGGAAAAGGGTTGTGGCATTTGCTTAAGAGGTAGAAAACCTACAACTACCAGAATGCACTGTACCACACCGGACCAATAAACACCCCTGCTGGTAGGTGATGTAAGGCTTGGGCTTTTTGACACAGGAAACAATGTGGATGCTGGCTGGTAACAAACAATCTCATATTACAGTTTAACAGTTAGCTAATAGGCTACATGAGAAATAAGCAATGCAGTAACAAAATCTTGCTCTGCATTTCATCAGCGCTGCTTTGTTTTACTGTTCGATTTCAGTTTTTCAGCCTCTGTTTTTTTAAATGGAAGAAACAGTATGTCGCCCACTTACTATTTGAGGTTATAAATAGACAATACAGTCACAAAATCTCGATTTAAATTTGATCAGCCCTGTCTAATTTTAAAGTTTGATCTGAGTTTGGTCTGCTTTTAGAAGAGAGAGAGCACTTATAGCACTTTATTTGTAAAGCTTTTATGGTGGCAGTACAGCCTAAACAGAAAGCTCCCTGTGAGACTTGCATCAGAGCAAAAACTCCATGATGAATAGCATAGCATGCCAGAGATGATGGGTGTGTCAAAGAGCGTGTCAGAGACGTGGGCGCTCAGGAGGGGGAGAGCCTCGTGGATGCTAAACATGGTAATAACCTGGCATAGTACAGCAGGAGAAGACCCTTCTCCACAGAAGGATAATATGTTTAATAGAAAAAGGAACTGGTGATATGTCAGAGCTGTGTATCTATCTGAAGATTTAAAGGCCTCTTAAATCTCACTTCAACAGGCTTGTTGCCAACAACACCAAAACAGCTGGTTGTTAAACATCTACTCACTAAAATCACCAATCTATCATACAATGATCCACTGTTTCACACTTAAAGGGTAAACATATGTACAGTAACATGACAGATGGAGCTGCTGTACTGTAAACATGCTGAATACTCCCTTTCCTTATCCTTGTGGCTCCCTCCATCACCTTCTCTATCCCTCTCGCAGCCAACTTGCACAGCATATGGACGTTTCTCATTTTCTCTTACTCTTTCTCCCTTTATCTTTTCTTGTTCCCTCTCACCCAGTTAAGGTGTTTGTTTAGCATGCACACGTCAAGTAATCCTCAGAGTGCCTGTGTGGATTAGGATTCTGGCCGAGCTCCCACCTCTGCTCAACCATCAGGAGGGCAGGAGGATGGAGGCTGCTGCTCGACATCAGGGCAGATAAAGTCTAAAAGCCTGTGTCAAAAACCCTTCCGTGTCCAGGTGGCTTTCCCTAAGCACAGGTGTTGTTTTTCAGGAGCACAGATACAAACATGCAATCTTTTAAGGTGCCGCTACAATCTAATCTTACATCCATTTCAGCAAGGTAAAGTGCCTTGCTTAAGAGCACCATGTCTGTAATCATTCATTTCTCCATCAGTGTTTTCCCTATTCAAACCAGGGATGTAAACCAGAAACAATTCAACAGGCATACTGTAGGGATATGAACATTCTTATTGCCTGATATACTTTGTGTACTATACTATAAATGATATGATATCAGTGTCAGTACAATGGAAGTGCTGTTTTCTACTAGTGAAATAGAAAACAAGGCTAGGCAATTGTTGACTCTCTAAGACTCAATGTTGCTATTGTTGTGAAAATTACTTTTTGTTACTTTTATAATTTCTGTTATTGATTTATTATATTTTACAATGATGCAGAAGGTAACAAAATCAACCAAATACTCAGGAAAAATCATATGGAAGTGAGACTTAAAGCTTGTAGTTGCCAATACAGATATCATCTTTGAGGGTTAGGGGTTCTTTCATGTTTTTTATGTTACTGACCCCAAGTGTCCAGAGGTGAAGCCTCATAGCTCTTTTAATGAGGCTTCGAATTAACCTACTTGTAGGACCTACAGTAAAAAGAGTTATTCCTGTATGTACTTTGGCATAAAGTCCACAGTCTGCAGTCATCTATTTATGCAGATATTAAGGAGCCATCCAGAACTTATGGGGGATATCCAGACCCCTATCTTTCCTCATGTTTATCTCATACCCAAAGTGTGTGTTTGTCTATTCAGTATGTGTGTGAGTGTGTGTTTGTCCAGGTTCCTCACCTTGCGGATGCTCCCACTGTGGCTGCCCTCTGAGGGTAACATTAAGGGCATGTCGTCGTCCGAGGTACCGTCTGACAGGGACATCTCCAACTCTCTGTGGACAGTAATGTCAATGTAATTCCGTTCCAAAGTGTCACTGTTTAGACGTACTTCCTATATATCGCCATGTATGTTTAAGACAGCTCCCAGCTTTACTAGACATCATTGAAAAGACAATATTGAGCTAAATTTGGTGAGTTAGGTTAGCTAATGAGTCGCGGTTTTACCACTTGCCTTGTCGCAGGTTCCTCCATCGTGAGGCAACGACAAAAACTGCCAAAAAGTCCCTACATTTCTTCCAACTTTGTATAATTCCAAGTACTGACAAGGCTCCACGGGTCAGGCAACACCAGAGTGAAATAAACAACTTTTTACTCCTCAAAACTACCCTGCTTCAACTCATTACATTACGCTAGCGCCTCCTCCGCCTGCTTTTTTCTGACTTGTGTGCAGCTGCAAGAGCTTATTCACCGAGGCGGGCCCCAAATGTGGGAGCTAGTCAATGACGTTGTAGTCTGTAAGAGCGACAGTAGATGTAACAAATCAGAGGGAGGATTAAGACCGAACGACAGCCCTGATCTGACCAATCACGAGTCACTGCAGGCGTCCCCCTACTCCGCGGGCCGTTGCTACGGCAACGTCAGGGCTGTGGCTTGTGTGTGGGCTCCGAAAAGATTGTAGAAGCTCCACCTCCTCCACAAGACTGAAAACATATATGTAAATGATTATGACTTCCTTTTTATTTTGTTTTCGTGGTGATTTTAATGCTGAATTACTTTTGCATTTCCCCTGATCTATAGAAATAGTTAGTGTGTTGGTCCAGCCCAAAATTCTGCCAGTTTACAGAAACGCTGTACAGATACTATGGAGAAGAGAGATGATGTGACACTTTATATGTGTTTATTGGTCCTAACTCCTTAAAAGGCAGAGAGGTTTTCCAGTTTAAATGGTTACATGTTTTTTCTTTCAACAGGCCATCACTCTATACGAGAGTCACAGTGTCAGGAACAATCCCCAAAACCCAGTTACACTTCACATCCACTGTACATGTTAATTGCATAGTTTTGTAGTTCAACACACAGTCTTTTTAACATCTGCACATCATTACTGTCAAAATCCATGCACGCTGTATACACTGTCATATCCTACCTCACTGTATAAAGCAACTTTTTACATTAATCTTTCAAGGCTGACTCTGATTCTGAATCTCCATCAAAGTGTAGGCTAAATACAAATTAGGCTAGGTAGGTTATGTATGAAAGGCAGCTTAGTCTATTCACAAAATAGGATTACAGTGATCTGTTTCCTAAATTTTAATGTAAGGTTCCAAAAGGGTGCATGCATGGTATTTGACAGTAAAAACCAGTCCAAGCCAGTATTGCTCTCATGCAAACTAGCCCTGTGCTCCTAGTAGCAGAGGTGGGACCAAGTCATTGTTTTGCAAGTTACAAGTAAAGCAGAATTTATAGCTGTGTGCAGACCCTACGCACATCGCCTCTGCCCTTTTGAGCATTTTTACTTGTGCAGTGGTGTCTGTGTCACTGCAGTTACACCTCCAAAACGCTAGTCAGCAGTGGAGGTTTCTGTGAAGTGCTGTTAAGTTTAGTTGATTCAAAACACACCCAAAACACATATTAAACATACATTAAACATGGCTTAACAGAGACAATTTCAAACACAAGTACACATATTGGCTTCACTTTAACTCGCAGCATTCACAGACAAATACTTGTGTTAATCTGGACACATTTTCCCCACAAATAAAACATGCCAACGTTATTAGCACAAGCCTATGGCATTTTACATTGTATAAAATGGCCTAACAACTAGCGATCTTTTCTCTCTTCTCATATAAAACAGGGACAACAGCAACATTTAACAAAAGTAACGACACACAATTTTGCTCCATTACAACTCACAAAGTTCACTGACAAAACAACTTTCTTTAACTAAACACGTTTTCCAAACAAATATGACAACGTTATTAACACAAGCCTATGGCATTTTACATTGTATAAATTAGCCATAGCGTCTAGCGATCTTTTCCTCTTCTCATTTAAAACCAGGGACAACAGCAACGTTTAACAAAGATAACGGTACACAATTTGGCTCCATTACAACTCACAAGATTCACCGACAAAACAACTGTCATACTAAACACGTTTTCCAAACAAATACAAAATGCTAACGTTGTTAGCACAAGTCTATGGCATTTTATTAGCCTAGCGACGAGCGGTGATTTCCTCTTCTCATATGAAAGCTAGATTAATCCCGAAGTAGCCTATAAATCCCTGAAGGATAAATCACACACAAGACTTAAAATGCTATTTTAGTGGAGGCTTTACTGTCTTCTCAATTTATTGTTTCTTAGCTGTGAAATAAGTGTAAATAAAAGCTTTGTTTCCACTGAGGGAAATTGTTTCAGCTTATAGAAACAGACAGGAGGTCTGCATCACCTCAACGGTGCAATTCTGGGGAGTTGCATGTCAGGCTACGGCGTACAGCGTAGACTCTAGTTACGGCATCGATTCAACGCAGAAGTAGCCTATAAATTTCCCATAAGACTCAAATCCCAAGTTGAGACTGACAAGTCCCAAATCAAATCCCAAATCCTAAATTTTGAGTTTCGAGTCCTAAACAAGTCATAATGTGCTGTTCACCAAATGTAATGCCACAACACAGTATTAATATATTAAATTTACAAAAAATTACAAATGCTTTTTAGAATTAGAATTTATTTGTAAAAACACATTTGTTGGAAGTTGTATGTCTGTTTGTAATTTAGGACACACATTTTGCATACTGTAATTAGTTTTTTCACATGAGCAAAATTATCTTTGGTAGAATTTTTTTCCAGCTGGTGCCTGGTAACATTAGTTCTTCATGATTCCCTCCTGCAACTTGACTGGATTTGTGGCACACTTTTTTAAATAACATAGTTTGTTATCATTGGATTTGGGGGAAGGTGTAAAGTATTTTCAAGTCAAAGGGCTCAAGTAAAGTTTAAGCCGAGTTTCAAGTCTTTTTTTGATACTGTCAAGTTGATTCTAAAGTCAAATTTGTAACTCGAGTCTGACTTGAGTCCACATCATGTGACTTGAGTCAATACCTCTGCTAAGTAGTATCACTTTCTTGGTTGTGTACAGATACAGCTGCCATTGAATTAGATCTACTGACACATTTTTTGTGCTAAAAATTGTTTTCTGCTTTTAAATCTGTCCGTACACAGCACACACTCTCAGATCATTTGCACTGCTTGGATTTGTTTTGTGATTCATCAATTAGAAAATAATAAAACAAAATTCACAGTAGACTTTGGTAAAAGGAGATGTGCTATATATTGATTTGGTCTGGCATTTTAAGGCCTTAAAAATAACCTCTATAAATTGCAAGTCTAACTCCTGGACAGCCCACATTCTCACTTACCCATTCCATCTCAGTTCTCTGTGTCTAGCTGATTATTATTTTTGTGGTTTATTTCAATTCTCACACAATGTCACTATTTTCATCATTTTGCCCAGCCAGACTTGGTCCTGGTTATTTACTGTCTCAGTTATTCACCAAACTTACACAGCATTATTGTCTGCTAATTCATCTTGATCCAATTTATTTTAGTTCCACGTGTTTGGACAAAACTAGATTGTTTCAGGGAGGTATGGACATAATGAACTGACCTGACCTTATTCAATCTTTCTGTACATTATTGTTGTCTGACTGAGGCTGCTGCTCATCCTCAGTGCTTCTCGATTTGTGTGGTCACATCTCCATATGGCAGGTTCGCCTGTCATGGTCCCTGGCCAATCAGTTAATTAGAGCTCTTTCCCAGAAATCTACGACTTTGTCCACATACGCAGCTGGTCAGCTCTGAGGTGAAGCCTTCCACCATTAAACTCTTAGGCTGCAACCTTGAACTAAGACCACCCATCTACAGCAATTTTGATGGGACAGAGGTCCTACATTGGAGATTAATGAGCAGTGGGTTGTAGATGAGTCGGTACCTGGGTTTCAGCTTAAGATGAAGAAAAAATGGGAGTTGAATGATATTTAATGTATTCACTCAGAGAAAATAAATGGAAAATGACAGTAGGATGATGTACACTTATGTAAATTTGTGTTTCATCAAGCTTTACTTTATTGTGCACACATTATCTGATGAATTGAAATTTAGTAGACAATTCAAACTCATTACATTGTGCTATTCCTACAGTCTGTTCATACAGTATTGGATCCTTATTACTAAATCTACTTTATCATGACAACATCAATCATTTATACTGCCAAATTAATTTTACTCATCCTCATGTCTGTGGTAGTAGTAGCAGCAGTAGAAGTCCTGAATTCAAAATTTTGTTTATGGAAAAGTATTCCTTGAATAAATAGTTATTACTTCTTTAGTATCAATACATTACATTCATCAAAAATAAGCATCTATTAAGATAAATGGCCCCTTCCAGAGTCATTTATCAATATTGGATTATTATTAACAACAGAGCAGACTTTAGTGCTGTCAGTGGATGTGGTAGATTAAGCAATGTGTAATATTTTGGAAACTTACCATATTTTGTATCTGCCATCAAACTAGAGATGTCATATAAATGTAGTGGAATAAAATATTTGATTACAGTATTTGTTTAGAAGGAAATTAAATAAAATGGAAAAATGGAAAAGAGAAAAGCACCTCAAAACTACAACTCAAAAATGTACTTATTCACTTTCCAACACTGACATCTGCCTCTGAAAACAAATCACTCACAACTGTCAAGGATATATGTGGATGGCACTGTAATCACACCAAAGTATGTTGTAGATAGACATATTTGTACAAAAACTGATGTGCTACAGAAAACTAATTTTTCAAATCGGTTTGCTAATCACAGCAATTAACAAATGACTACTGCTGCCTCTTTGCAGGTATTTTAATGTTTGGCCACTTGAGGGCACTTTTGCCCTTTCAATAAGCCTAAAAATATCATTGTGTTTCCATAGTACACCAATCAACCAAAATGTTAAAACCACTGACAAGTGAAGTGAACAACACTGTTAGAATACAATGTTCTGTTGGGAAACCTTGGGCTCTGACATTTATGTGGATGCCACCTGACGCGCTCAACCCACCTAAACGCCAGTGCAGACCAGGTACCCCCTCATGGCAACTGCACTCCCCAGTTGCAGTGGCCTCCCAGCAGGATGATGTGTCATGCCACACCACAAAAAATGCTCAGGAGTGGCCCGAGGAACCTAAAGGCATTGGCCTGGGCTCCAAATTCCCCAAATCTCAGCCTGATCAAACATCTGTGGGATGTGCTAGTACCCCACCTCACAACCCACAGGACTCAAAAGATCTGAAGCCATCGCCCTGGTGCCTGACATGCTAGTACCCTACCTCACAACCCAGAGGACCCAAAAGATCTGAAGCCAAGGTGTTGGTGCCAGACAC